AATTCCTATGCCCCACAAATAACCCAGAGATGCATTTTAAATAAAAGCACACATTCTACTAATGTGAAAACACGCTGATTCCTGGACCGTCCGCAGGTCGGATTGAGAAGGCGATTGCGCCGCATCTGGCCCCCGGGCCTTAAGTTGCCTACCCCTGGCATACAGCATTGGATCACATCAGATTATGGTCCAGGTATTGTCTGCTCCGATTAGCAGTGGCTTTCACAGGCCTCAGGCAGACCTCAGGTTTCACATCACCCGCTGCCTGATACTTTTTCACCTGAAGATGCTGGAGTTTGAATCTGGCCTTCTGCAGAAAAAGCCTGTGCTCTGTCACTGAACTGTGATTCTTCTTTCACAGCATGGGGTGGATTTATTCATTTTGGAGAAGTAGCACCTTTGTAAAATAATGAAAAGGTTAGTTCCTAATAGAATATAAATACAACTCCAGCAAAAGTTCTACTCAGCTCACCCACTGAGAAAGAAAATGCAGTATGATAATGAGCCTATCATTATTTCGGAGTGTAGTGATTCTGGATGCTGTTTTATCACCCTAATGCATAGCATTTATGTAGCATATTCCCTAAGTCAGCAGTGAAGAATCTCCAGTCTACAGGCTTAATTAGGCCTACCAGGCCATTTTGGCCAAGTCACGCACATCACACACAGTGATCAGCTGATCAGCAAAGGTTTGCACATAGTGCCCTGCCTGGCTTTTTGCAATCAGGGCTTCAAAGTATTAACTCTTTGCAAGCACTAACGGATCAACTGGTGCTTATGGAGAGCAGCGCATATGCTTTGAAGCCCCTACAATCACTGATTGTTGGGGCTTCAAAGTGTAGTGCACTGAGAAGGGTGAAAATGGGTCGCCTGGCTTCACTGTGATATCAGGTGAGTGGCCATTGGCTCATTGTGGGTGGAGGAGCTAAGGATCCAGCCCACCAACCAGATCCAGTTCCTCACACCTTTGCTAAATGATCAGACTGCTAGTACATAAAAGCTTATGCCACTGTAAAACTTAAGTTTTCAAGACTTCACAGTTCTCTGCTGTTTTTGCTCCAACAAACTAATCCTTACAGCAGCTCTTTCAGAAAGATGGAGGCTAATTATTATCTGTATATGAGAGCCTGGCTGCTTAATCTGAGAGATAGTGACTTGCCTAGAGATAGACAGTAGACATGGCTGACCTCAGATTTCAACCAGAGATTTCCATCTCATAACTCATGCTCTTAACCACTCCTCTATATGATCAGTTAAGAAGGAAAGACTGCAGTGAAGAGATTTAAAATATGTGGTGTATAAGATCAATCAGGTCCAATCAACGCCATTTGATTACATGGAAGAGCACTTCAGCTCAACAAAATAGTATTGATGTATGCATACATTTCTAAGAAACCAAGTTGCTAATATTTTAAAGTTACATTTTCCAGGCATATTCTTCAGTGGCACCAGAATGGGAGGCAGCAAATCAAGCCAGTCTGTGGTTGAAAATAGATCCTGTGCTTTCATATTTTCCAGGTTTTGTGGTGGTATTTGAAATACTGCAAACAATATTTTTGCAACGAAAGAAACCTCTACAAAGAGATGCTAAAATGGCCTGTCAGGAGACATGGCACCAGCAATGTGTACTAAGTAAACTAAAGAAAAATAACACCATGTTTGTAAGGGCATGGCTATGGAGATAAAATAAATTGTAACTCTATGGCTTGGAACATGGGCATGGCCAACTAAATTAAGAATAACGGGGGGGGGGGAGAGACCTTTTTAAAAATTGCAGACATATGTGGAGCACAATCCTACGCATGTTTCCCTTGGAAATAAGTATATATTTCATAAGTTGGGGTGGGAAAGAAATATAATGCAATTCGCATTTAAAGGTGAAGCTACCTAATTCATGCTTCCCCAAAAAATAGATGAAGCAAGACACACCCATCCTTCAAAATTTGCATTTGCCCAAGTTTTGCAATGCAGGTCCCCAGCCAAATAATTTGTACAAAAATGCATGTACTAGGGTAAAGTGTGCATAAAAATGCATATATTTGTGAAAATGATATACAAAAATGCATTAAATTAGGAACTATTGCTTTACAGAAATGTGTATATTAGGCAAAAAATTATACGAAACTCTGTATATTAGGAGAAAATCATGGATGAATTTTCATGAGGACTTAAAAAAAATCACAAGCTGATCTGGAAATGTGAAGATCTGAACTTGAGATTGTGAAAAGGAGAAATAAGAGAAACCAAAATTGACAGGTTCGCCCATCCTACTCATAAATCAAGGAAGGGTGATTTCTGAAAACAATGGACAAGAGGCGTTAAAAGGCTGGTAAAATCATGTGAATATCTACATGTAGAAGGGGAAGGGACATCAGTGGTGATTCAGTTGTTTGGAATGTCAGCAGGATGCATTGGATGTAGAGCTATGCAACCATAGAGTCAAAAGGGTGATACAGCAGAAGCACAAGGAAAGAATGGTGATGAACAAACTGAATGACTCCCTTGGCTTGGGGAGGCAACATGAGATCACCTTAAATCTGATCTTAAACCAGTGGTGGCCAAACTTGGCCCTTCAGCTGTTTTGGGACTATAATTCCCATCTCCCCTGACCACTGGTCCTCTTAGCTAGTTTGGCCACCACTGTCTTAAACCAAAGGTTTTCTTGAGCACTGAATATCTATACCAGGTATGTCCAACAGGTCGGTCGCGATCTACTGGTATATCCCCACAAGGTTTTAGTAGATCGCGCTCGATCTCTGGCTCCCTTTCCTTAGCATAGCTAAAACTGACTCCTGCCACACACCTCACCCCACCCTACATTGTTGTATGGTCTCTGGAAGGGAAAACAGCTTTCTATGTGCTGCTGTTTTGATCCATTGCGACCTTTTTGTGAGTGACTTTACCCCTTTGTCCCTTGCCTTTAACCCCCCCAAACGGATCTTCCCCCCAAACAAGCTTTTTTTTAAACCCACCAAAATTTCCTCCCCCCTAAGAAAGCTCAACAACTTTGAGCTGAACCCCCCCAAAACAGGGGGTAGGTCACTGCCAGTTTTTAATTCTGAAGGTAGATCGCAGTCTCTTGAGAGCTGGCCACCCCAATCTATACAAAGTGACCCAACCAATACATTGCCTGCACACTTTACAGCACAGGTAAAAAGGTAAAGGACCCCTGGACGGTTAAGTCCAGTCAAGGGAGACTAGGGGGTTGTGGCGCTCATTTCGCTTTCAGGCCGAGGGAGCCGGCGTTTGCCCACAGATAGCTTTCCGGGTCATGTGACCAGCATGATGAAACCACTTCTGGCGCAATGGAACATCGTGACAGAAACCAGAGCGCATAGAAACTGCTGCAGCGGTACCTATTTATGTACTTGTACTGGTGTGCTTTTGAACTGCTAGGTTGGCAGGAGCTGGGACAGAGCAACGGGAGCTCACCCCATCATGGGGATTTGAACCACTGACCTTCTGATTGGCAAGCACAAGAGGCTCAGTGGATTACAAAAATTGGCTTTTACGATATTGCTGCTGAAACAGACATACGGTAAAATGAAACGGGAAAAAATGTTTTATTGCAGATTTGTGAGCTTGAGACTGTTGTGCAATTAACCTGTAGGATTTTCTTCTACATTTGCCATTTATGGACGTGAGTGCCTGCAGAATTGTAGCAGCTGAATAGTGATTTGCGATTGTACGGTAACTTTTGTGGGCTTTCAAGATCAAAGGCTTAAATTGGCTCAGTTACAATTCTACCAACCGCAGCGATTTTCAACCCATAACCCAGTTTTAAGGGAGCAGCTTATATTTGGGTATTGTCTTTTTTTCTTTCTCCCCCTTGAATTTTAAAAGTGCGGCTTATTTGTGGGTGCGGCTTATATTCGGGCCAATACGGTAACTGATACTTAAAAGCTTGCTCTGGCTGCCCACATGCTACCAGGTCAGGTTCTCTACAAGGCCCTTAACAACACCTATCCTGAATACCTTAAGGACCACTTGATTCCTCATATTTCTGCCCAATCACTGAAGTCTGGGAGGCGTGGGAATCACAGTTTGTGGTTTCTATGGCTTGGATGGACAGCTGATACCCACCAGGAGCTGTGTGTTCAGTTGTGGTCCCAATTCTGTGAAACTCCCTCTTAGCTGAGAGTATTAAACTTCCAGCACTTAGCCATTTCTTTTATCTTTCAGCTGATGTTATGGTCAATTACAATGGTTTTACCTGACTGTACAGTGCTTAGTGAATTGCCCAATTTTTGGACTTCTGTAAATTTAATCCTTCATTATTGTGTTTGTTTATGATAGATGCATTCCCATGTGCTATCATTTTATTTTTTGGATTCCTCTAGCTCATCTTATTCTCTCCACCACTAGCACATCCCATAATAAATATGGCTTCCTTTTATTTTGCAATTTTATATGCTCTCCTACACACAGTCTCCTGCTGTCTTGTGGTTCCATACCCACTGGTTTAAATGATTGTTTTGCAGCTATTCTTCCAGCGTGCATATGGTATTCCGACATATATCTATTTTGCCCTTCAGGGTGGCCATATGCAAAAAACAAAACAAAACAGGATTCTTTAAACTTTCTGGACTGAATAAGGATTTTTCCGACTTCTGGGAGGACTCTGTGGAAGCCACACCTTTTATTACAGGATCACGACAGATTCCAGAACTTTATTTCTGGTTTCGGTACTGAATTTATTTCAGGCCTGCTCAGAAGTGTCCACCTGTGACCTGAAAGTCCTCAGATCCGTCTTGGAAGGAAATACAGCGACAAGAGGGCGGGGTGCATTCTGTACTTTCTCAGAGGCACCCTTTATTACTTGGTACGCTCCAAGGCTGAAGCCTGGGGCTAAACTCTCCCTTCTCCTAAGCAAGACAGCTGTGGGAACCCGGGAGAGCCCATTCAGCTCGCCCTCCCCTCGGGGTTGGCCCAGCGCCTTCCTCGCCGGTCAATTCCAGCGGGAGGCGCGCGCGCGTGCGCCTGGGCTGAGGCGGGCCGGCGTTTTGTTTGGCTTTGCTCGCCCGGGATGGGTGGGGGCGAGGGAGGCGGCAGGAGGGAAAGGGAGCGGAGCGAGAGTTGCTCGCCGGCGCTCCTGCAGCGAGGGAAGGACGGCGTCCTGTGGGCTCGCCCCTTCGCGCCCACCAGGAAAGCGGGCGCCTTTTTCGGGGAGACGCTGCCGATGGAGCGCCCCGCGCCTCCCTCCCGGCAGCAGCGTTGGCGCCGCCTGTGCCCGCTCGCCTAGACGGGGGCCGTGCCTCTTCTAGGGTTAGGATGGAGTAGCGGGCAGCGGTCGGCGTCGCTGGCTGGAGGCTGCCCGGCCACCTGGGGATGCTTGGAGACGCCTAAGGCTGCCCCGACGGCCGCTCTCCCCTCAGAGGGCGCTGCGCTCGACCTCGTCTGTCAGCATGGGCTCGCCCTGCCGCCGCCGCTGCTGCCGCGGAGGGACCCCTTGACGGCTTGCCTCTTCGTGGCCCTTTGCCTCCCCCCGGCAGAGGCGGGGAGGGGGCGTGCAGCTCTTGGCCCGGCTCTGCCGAGGGAAAATGCTAGCCGGGGGGTTGCTGGCCGGTTTCTCCGTGCTCAGCCTGCTCACCTACGGCTATCTGGCTTGGGACGCGGCTGGCGACCCCGAGAGCGCGGGCGCGACGGCCAAGTTGGAAGAAGGACCCGAAGCGGAGCCCGCCCCTCCTCCGCCACACCTCATCTTCATCCTGGCGGACGACCAGGGGTTCAGGGACGTGGGCTACCATGGCTCGGAGATCAGGACGCCCACCTTGGATAAGTTGGCGGCGGAAGGGGTGAAGCTGGAGAACTACTACGTCCAGCCCATGTGCACCCCGTCCAGGAGTCAGTTCATCACGGGAAGGTAAGACGTTGGCGCTAGGGTTTTTTTTAGAGTTTAGAGGGTGGGTGTCAATTTCAATAACCCTTGAAAACTGAAATTGGTGAGTGTCTGCGCCTGTCTTACCTCGCAAGATGCCTCTTCTAAAATCTCTCCTGCACAAGTATGGTAAATACAAACGGAGTTATTGTGGCACAAGCTTTTGTGGACTAGGGTGTCTGATGAAATAGGTCTGTCGCCTTTAAAAGTGCCTGCATGTGCTGTTGTAGACTTAGCACAGGTATCCCCCTCCTGGAACATCTGACATTTAACTTTGCTTGGAAGTTTTGTCCTTAGCTGAGGTTTAGGAAAGTAGTGGGTTAATGAGTGAACTAAAATCAGAACTTGTGCTTTGTTAACTAAGCATTTGGCAACTGAGAGCTACCCACTTCATAATATTATAACAGCTGATTTGCATGGATATACAGTGCATAAAAGCCTCTTGTCACTCCATTCATGTGGAAGCTACCAGCAACTAGTGAACATCATTTGAGTTCTGTTTTTATTAACACAGCTTGGGGGGGGTGTAGAATCAGGAGCCTTGAGCCAGCAGGAGAGCCTCACCTGGAGAGTAAAACAGAAGTTCCAGGGGAATGAATGAAAGCTCAAGTTGTCCCAGTTTGTTGTCATATGCAAGTCCCCATTCTTACTGCCAGAGACAATCACTCAGACAGTTATTGGCCAATGCGAAAGATGTCCATTGAAACCTCAGTCCAATGAGAAAGCCAATTTGAGTTTAAAGCCATAGTAAGCACTTTGGCAAGAACATCTTAAAGAACTTAACCACAGCATTGTTACACTGCTCAATATTGTCTGCATCTTCAGCTGTTAATGTTGTCATAGCATGATGTGTCCGAGCGCAAATTTTAAAAGGCTATTTCTCCCGTTTCATACCATATTAATCCCATTCACAAGCTTGTATTTTAAAAGGCCATATCCTAGGATCAAAAATATGCTAATTGAATCACTTGTTGACATATTGTATTCCCATAGTATAATTCCTCCTTGTAGAAAGTTAGAAATGTGTTTTCAGTATCACCAAAGCAGCTGAAAACAAACTTGTTATTTATGACACTTTAGATGTGCAGTCCATTTCACAATCTTTAGCATTCATTCTGATAACTGTGTACACTAGTTTCGCTATTACTGTAGTTTTATCATTGCCCACTCATCTTGGTTTTAAGCTTAGGGCTTCTAAGATCATGCCTGATATAGCTTCTGCTGAACAACAACGCTGGCCGTCAGCTTCTGCTGCTCATAATTATGTGCAGTGTTAGGATAACTCGCAACAGGTAATGTAACATACTTGATCATGAGAAGAGCATGGAGTTCATTTTTGGCCCTAAACTTTTTTTCCTAAGCGCATAGGTCAGGAACCTGAAGTTATGACGATAGCACGTATTCACATCTAAGATGCAAGTTTCCCCCCCTTGTCTGTTACTTTTATTGTGGCTACCATCATTCTACGTATATTACAAAAATTATAAGACACGGGTGTACTCACAGATATGCAGTCTAATAAAACATGACATATGAAGGAACCTTTTCCTGTTGTGGACCATTTCCAAGTAAATTGTTCTCTTATCCATAAATGAAACCTCCCACCTGGTGGCTGCTTCAGTAATTACGTATATTTCAGGGCTGAATCCACACATTTGTGCACTGGGTGTGCAGGCATGTCTGAAGCAGGGTGGGTACCAAAATATTATTCCACTGAAAACGGAAATGATATCTTTGTATGCCTGTATGTGTGGTGGCGTATGAAGAATCACAAAAGTTAGCATGGAGCATGAATGCGGGCAGTGGGGAAGCACTCTCCTTTCACTCATGTTAGTATCAGCAAGGTTGTTTTAATAAAATGGAAACTGTTTTACTTCTGTTGGAACAGCTGGAAACAAAGTGAGAGCCAGAGTTATGGAGCCACCAGTAAATGCTCTGCAGAAAAGACCTACAGTTCACAGTCTGTTAGGCAGTCTGTTCAGGCTGCACGACAGTCATTTGTTCATCTGGCTATGGAGTGTTTCTGTCCAGGTGATGACCTGTCCCTGTTAAGTATGGAACAACTGGAAGATGACTCAGAACAGAACAAACCAAATCCAAAGGAGCTTGGATTACCAATCTGGATTGCCAACTATAAAACACATACTGTTTAAATTAGGCAAGGAGTGAACTAAAACAAATAGATTGGGAGGAGGCTGAGGCTGCAGTTTTTTTAAGTGGAATGTTGTGAAAAATTATTCTGAAAATCCAGTTGCTGTATTTTTTGAAGTGGTTTTAGGAAAACTAAGATTTTTTTCATGCACTTCCTTCTGATTTTCTTTACAGTCTGCCAGACTGGCATGATGCAAACTTATTTTCTTTGCCATTTTACTTTCAGAGCAAGGGATAGTCTACAACAAAAGTAACAAAAGTAAGAAATAGAGTAAGGGTGTGACTGCAGAAGGGTTTGACCAGAGTGGAATTAAGAGTACATAATAAAGTTATTTCTCCTTTGTATGAATGCCAGAGATGGATTGTTGCAATTCTCCATTTCCTACTTCTGTAATATAAATAAATTCATATTAAAATAGTGTGGGTTTTGCATTATGTGACTATCTGGTCTACAGTAAGTTAAATTCACACATAAAATATTCAGCAAAAACTTGGTAAACTTGTAATACAATTGATCTCAAGTTTAGAGGTTCCAGTTTTTGAGTTCCAGTTTTTGAGCTTTGGCCAACATGTCCTTGCTGTTTAAAGATGGCTCGTGCATAGTAAACCCAGGATGGTTGTCTCAGTTACCAAGATTATTATGGAAGATGGGGAACAAGGGAACAAGCATGTGGTCTTAAAGGCGGTAAGTATTTTAGAAATTAGAATTGGTGCCTTTAGACTTTGAAGGGATCCAATATTTTTGTAATGTGCTAAGATCCATCTGAACCTCACAGTTGGCTAAGGCCCTGAGGGATAGTTCAGTCAGCAGAGCATGAGACTCCTAATCTAAGAGTTGTGGGTTCAAGCCCCACATTGGGTGAAAGATTCCTGCATTGCAGGGGGTTGGACTAGATGGTCCCTGTGTTCAAGATCTACAGTTCTGTGCAATCATACACCAAACATATTAGTCATCTTGAGGCTACATGTATGGCAGAGGTAAAGTGCAAACCCTGAAAAAGTAGAGTTGCAGCCTTTTCATCAGATGGTGTTGGTGTGCAGTAAACCGTTCCTAGGCCTATATGCAACTTGAAATTCCTGGAACAGCTCTTGGACTCAGGAGCACTATTAAGCTGCAGAACTTTGTCACTGCAGAACTTTGCCATCAGTGACAAGAAACTGATAATAATAATCAGGGATAAAGGTTCCTCTTCCCCAAGTTGTAATTACTTCAGGGATATCCGGATTCAACTTGAATTCACTTGCTCACACAACCATTTTCTGTTCAACACCAGAAGAAATGAATGCTGTGTGAATCCTGGTTAATGAAAAGGGAAGATAAAATAGCTACTCCACTCCACGTGGTGAATTTCTGTCCTGGGCCGCTGAAGCTCAACTGAGAACATTTATTTTTCTGAATATTCCAAAATTGCAAGCATGTCCCCCTTTATCTTTTCCACCCTCCAGCTCCAGACCAAACCGATCCAGCTTCTTTAGCCTTCTCTCAAATGATGTTATAGACTCTTTCCCATGGCATGTATGTAATTAAAGCAAATTAAAACAATGTAAAAAAAATGTTTCTGGAATAAAACAAAATGGTCTTGTGTGGCAAAGTTGTCAGAAGGCATTGTGTGCCATGGAAAACAAGCATTTATGAGAGCCATAAAAGATTTAATAAGAAAGCTAACTTCAGTATTTTATATGATCTGTCCCACATGTCTATGCACGTGTTTGGAGAGTGATCGTATTTCATATTTTTATTTATTATTATTAATACTAAGTTTCATATAGAACATAAAACTGAGTTCTCCTGATTAGTGGTTGGATGTATTTTCAGCTGAGTAAATGGGAACATTCAGAGACCATAGAACTATGCTTCCTGGATTACATTATTATCATTAATAATGATGATGATAAATTTATTACCTTTCCCTCAACAGCAGGTCCCAGGGTGAATTTAAAATTCAGATTTAAAGACAGTTAAAACAAATTGCAGTCACAGGTATAGAAATAAGAATACTGAAAATGTTATTATATTTAGAAGAAAAGCATTAATAAAACTAGCCCAGATATATCACTAGATTTCTTGTATGGTGTAATGCAGGGGACAGCAAACTTTTTCAGGAGGGGGCCGGTCCATTGTCCCTCAGCCCTTGTGGGGGACCGGACCCACCCTTTCCCGAAAGGACTCCCTGCTGCCACTCATCGTCATTGTCCTTGGCCAGGGGTCTGTGGGGCGCAGAGCCCATGCCGCTGGCCTGGGTAGTGGAGGCAGCCCCTCCCCGCCACCGCCACTTCCTCCTGCTCGGCTCTTTGCCATACGCGGTCACCTCAGGGGGAAGGAAGGGGTGTTGCCCAGAGGCGTCCACGGCTTCGGATTGGCTCCAGGAGTTTCCTGCAGCCAATCCAAAGCCGTGCCAGCGTTGTCGCCTGCCCAGAGGCGTCCACAGCTTTAGATTGGCTGTTGGAACATTCTTGTAAAGTTAGTAGGATGCCCTAAACCTGTGCCTTGTTCAAAAGCCCCTCACAATGCCAACGTTCCATCAGGGGATAGAAAGGTATTATTGGGCTGAAATTAGGAGCATGCTTTTACCCAGCCACCCATGAATGGCGTATCTTAAATATCCCTCTGGTTATGCATCTTGGCAGTTGCCTACACTGTAATCTGATATGTGGGCCTTCCACCTCCAGCCCTAGTATGTGGAATATATTCCAGTTCCATACTTTGCTTCGAGCTGCACTTGAGTAATGCATTTTGTTATAATTGTTAAAAATTATAGCTGTACACTTCCTTGACATTCCCAAGGAGCTCACTCTTGATTTATTTGGAGGATGATTTTCTTTATTCGGGATGATTTAAATGAACCACATATCTTTATTTGGCTGCACTGTACTACTGTATTTCCATGTTGACACAATTTGAACTATATCTGTTCACAGCAAGTGGCTCACAATTCTCTTCATTTCTTTCAAATGACAAATGTAACATACATGTAAATAGGGGAGATCTTGAAGTTATAATACAGTTGGACAGCTTTTGATGAAGTCCCATGGCAAAGATACCAGAGAAAAATGGAATAAGAGGACACATTCTCCGATAGGGAATGTTTTTTGTTTGATTGGTTTTTTTAAAGGAAGCAGAATATAGGGATAAACGAACAGGTTTCATAATGGAAATCTGTGCTGGAACTGGTGTTCGTATTTACTGTGTTCATAAATACTTTGAGGTCAAGGTCAGCAATGATGTGGACAAATGTGCAGGTGCCACCAAAGTATTCAGGATGGTGAAATCCAAAGCATAATGTGAAAAGCTGCAGTACAGTGAGTCTAAACTCTTGGCAAGTGCAGCAAAACAGCAGACAAGGTCCATTGTTAGAAAATGTAAAATGACACACAGTGGGACAAAATCAACAAACAGTACCGCCTAGAAGCTTATGGGATTCAATTGGTGCCCACGAGTGATATTAGGATAATGATAGGTGGCTTACTACAAACATTTATGGCAGTAGCTAGAACATAGGATGGTGGTAACAGGGAGCAAATTACACTCTTCTCTTGCCCCAGCCTGGTGGGATTTTACAGCATGGCAGGGCCAGTGCTACAGCTATAGCTCTGCTACAATGGCAGCTGGGGCCACAGGCAGTGACCAGTAGTTGGCCAACAGAGTCCAGTAGGGCTGGCAGAGGAACACCACTGCCCCATCTAGCGCTCCCCACAATCCCTATGCAAAGGATTGCTCTGCTAGTGTTTTGCAACAGTAAAAGAGGGAAAGAGGCAGATTTAAATATTTTAAGGTAAGAAAGCAAAGTTCACATCCTGTTTAAAAGGACAATTTTGAATTAAGCAAAACAAGAAAAGCTCTGATGGTGTTTCCTGCTTGGCAGGGGGTTGGACTCGATGGCCCTTGTGGTCTCTTCCAGCTCTATGATTCTATGATTCTATGATTCTAAGTGCTTTGAATATTTAATTTAATAATGTATCCTAAACTTGTGGGGTATTTGTATCGTATTTGCTGCTAAAAATAAAGTTGTGAATATTGTGTAGGAATACATTAGCCCAAACTCCTTAACAATTATGAAGTAAGTAAGTAAGTAGGTGTTAGACAAATATGTCATTTTTATGCTGCATAATATTACAATTTAAGGAGATGATAAATATTCCAGATTATATTACTTGGCAGTGTTGCCTTTCTTCTTCCGGATGAAATTTCATTTTATGTCATTTGGCAGAACTCATTTGGTCCCACCAGGACTCCATAAAAGTGCATCAAGAGCCTGGGGTGCTTATTTATTCCAAGTCTGCACCCATATGACACTGTTCTAAAACAGCAAATGAATATATTTCCCATTTATTAGCAGAGCTGTTGGCGGTTTGTGACAGTACTCCTTCTGCATCAAATCAGAGGTCCGTCTAGCTCAGTTAGCCTGTCCTAAATCATAGTCTGATTCAGCTTTTCAAGGGCGCCTATAATAACACTTAACACTGCTAGAAATTTTTTTCCCAGTTTCTTCCATTTGTCTCTGGCAAAGTTTGTAGACTCAGTGATACACAAAATATTTAGGAATCTGAAGAATTCTATGTTAGTGTTCTGACTTGCATGCATTTCTCATAAGCAGGAGTGGAATCCCGTGAGGTCTAGTGGTCAGCATCTTAGCAGCTTTCTTCATTGCCCCTATAACACAGAAAATTCTCCTGGATAACATCAGAAATATCCGCTCATCTGGAGACTCGGGGGCGGTGGCATCTGCTGCATGGTGTGGCCCTGGCTACTCCATGTGGGGGGACCACCATCTTCCCACGTGGCTGGAGAAGAGGAGGGTCATTTGGCACCACCCTCCTCCGGTTGCTCTGGATCACTGGAGTGGGCGGGCACTGGCCTGCAAACCAATTAGGCACAGGGCCGTAGGGATGGACTGGACCCATTCCTACTGTACTGTATTTAGATGGCTCACCCCTGATTTTTGCTGCTGTTGTTCCACTTGTATTCTTAACTGGCAGGCTTTGGGTTTGAAGTCTGGTTTCCCACACACCCCACTCAACCTTTTCAGTGCCAGGCTGTACAAAAGTAATTCTCCTGTGAAAAGTTACCAAGTTAAAAACAATATTTTCTTATTCCACTAATCTGCTTCAAGTGTTTGATGAGTCATCTCTACTCATCATAGTAACAAAGAAAAGCCCAAAACAAACTAGCTGACTTCTTCCATGGGAATAACGTAGCAAAGCAAGAAAAATGATTTGTTTTTCTATATCTGATGGAAACCACTGAATGTAAAGAAGGGGTCAGTCAAATCAGTACTTTATGGTGCTGAAGGTTATAAACTAAAATTGAGCTGAAGGACAATTCATACATTTCCCCACCCCCCCTCTAAGATTATGCAGATACAAGAGTCCACTGGAATTTCCAACAACCTTAAAAATCATTTAAAAAGTGAAGCAGCTACACCACAAGACAGAATAATTCAGACATGACACATAACTAGTACTGTAAGGGTGGAAATGCACATTCCCATCACCATGGCAGTACTGATGGAAGTGCACATGTCTTCATTCAAACTCTGGCAGCACAGATGAGGGTTCCATTGGGTTCTTTGCATCTGGATGCATGGCTGGTGCACATCCAGACATGAATCTGCATCCAATCTGCACAGCTCCCAGTCCACCAAAGGAATCTGCTGATGGAAGTTTGATTGAGTGCAACAGCTGATACAGTATCCATGTGTTATCACTTCATGCATTACATACTTTTTCCAGGTTAGCAGAAGCACAAAGACCGCGCAGATCAGGAAAATAAAGAACCAAATTAGGTATATGTTTCAGGTAGGATTGGTTTTAGCTGAACATAAAAGCAAAAGGAAGAGCTGATTTGTAAGCAGGTATCAGAAGACAAAGGCCCCATCTGCACTATACATTTAAAGCAGTATCATAGAATCATAGATTTTTGGAGTTGGAAGGGACCAAATGTCATCCAGTCCAACTCCCTGCAATGCAGGAATCTCAACTAAAGCATCCATGACAGATGACCACTCAACCTATGCTTAAAACCTCAAAGGAAGGAGAGTCCACCACACTCTGAGGGAGTCTGTTCCATTGTCAAACAGCTCTTACCACCAGGAGGTTCTTCCTGATGTTTAGTCAGAATCTCCTTTCATGTAACTTTAATCCATTGGTTTGAATCCTACTCCCCGGAGCAGGAGGGAACAAGCTTGCTGCATGCGACAGTCCTTTATTTATTTCAAAATGGCTATCATCTCTCTTCTCAGTCTCCTCTTTTCCAGGCTAAACATAACCAGTCCCTCAGCTGTTCCTTATAAGGCTTGATTTCCAGACCCTTTATCATCTTGGTTGCCTTCCTCTGCACGTTCTCCAGCTTGTCAATATCCTTCTTAAATTGTGGTGCCCAGAACTGGACATAGTATTCCAGGTGTGGTCTGAGCAAGGTAGAATAGAGTGGTGCTTTTTTTGATGCTACACCACACTGTTCATATTCTTGCAACACCTAACACAGCCCAACACAGCTATATTTATATTCAGGAGTGGCCTGAGGTGTTTCGGCACCTGACATGAAATGCCCTGCTGTTGCCCCTGTGATAGGAGTGCAAACTCAATAGGGAGTCTTACCTGCCGGGAAGTGGGTGGGAAGATCTTTTCTGGGTCCTCACACTTGCCAGTGGGGCTTTGCATTGGCTATTCCCTTCAGCAGAATCCAATGCAAAGTCCCAACACACCATGGGGTGGGAGGAGCAGGGGAGATCTCTCCCCCCCCCCCAAGCAGCAAAGCTGGGTGACAGAATACCTCCCCTCTCGCTGACTCGGCAGGAGGGGGGGCATTCCCCAGAGCTTTGCCACCAGTCCCTCTCTGCCCCTAGAGTTTGGCGAGACTGGCAGCAGAGCTGGGTGGTAGAACCGGCATTCCACCCCTGGGAGGATGCTGCTTGAGGCAGCCACGTCACCCAGCCTCATGGGTGGACCGGCTCTGTTTATATGGGAATGGGACAAATTATTCAGAACATGCTGACTTTGTACAGTGAATCTCTTCTATAAGTTTCCATTGTTTCTTTCCTCTAAGTTCAGTTAAAAAGGTGGCAGAAAGAAAGGGGCACCTTCTGCTATCTTTAATAAACCTTGAAATATGCAATTACCCCAAAACACCTGGAAAATGTTCAGTGGTATCTAATCAAATAAATATTGAGAGTGGGGATATAAAAATTAATCTGTCTTATGGGGCTGCACTGCCAGATGAGGTTACCCAGTTGGGTTCACCTTTTCTTCAAATCAATCCATGCTTGCCTGATTTACTACAAGTCCTGGAATTCACTTCTTTGGTTACTGCAAGCTTGTCTCCGCCATAAAAGTGTAATCCAGTACCCGTTGCTCTGCAACTTGATATGAGATGAGAATGAGGTGTTTCTAGGGAAGCAGATGTTTGATTCACATGTATAGAATCCTAGATCCAAATCTTTCTAAACAATGGGTAGATTTGTTGAACTTGGCTTGTTCGACATGGCCAGGGTTCCATTAAGCAGGGTGGAACATGTCAATTTGACGGCAAGGTAGCCATTTGAGCATACCATGGAACTCCTTTGTGTAACAATCCCTGCACTTGTGTGTTTGCTGCTGTTAAAAAAAAAACACCCTATACCCTGCAGTACGGAAGAGAAAAAAGTGTGTGTGTTAGGATATGAGCCAACAATACTGAGCCTTTAGGATAAAGTCTTTCTGGAATGTATTACTTTATTTCCATTAGTATTTCACACTTTCCCAAAGGCCCAAGGCAAGCCATAAGATGTGTTAAACACAAGTACAGCATACTAATAGAAAACATAAAAACCAATGACTTATAATAACCTGATCCTTGCTTAGCCTGTATAAGTGGCGGCACTGCAGGAAATGGGGGAGGGAAAATATAGGACAAAATAGGTTGTGGGGGTAAGCTCTGTTTTACATGTATTAATAAAGCTCTTGGAGGGGAAGACAGTAAACTCATCTGCTTGTTCAGCACCTGTACTTTGAATGCTGTCCAGCTTTTGGTGGATTGTGCGAGTAATTAGGAGGTATGCATCCTCCACGCTTCTTCTGCTACTGTCTTAAGGCACAGGTGAAACTCTGTGCTCTAACAGAAGAACAGAAGATCTGGCCCAAAGGCCTATCTCGTCCCACAGTGGCCAACCAGATGCCTGTGGGAAGCCCTCAATAGGATAGGAGTGCATTAAACCTTTCATTCTGCTGTTCCTCTGCAGCTGGTATTCAGAGACATACTGCCTCTGATCCATTAATTTGTCTAAACAGCTTTGGAATCTACCAGGGTTTGTGGACATTACTACTATATCTTGTGGTAGTGAATTGCGTGATTTAGCTATGCACTGTGTGAAGAAGCACATCCTTCCCACCTGAATCTTCCACTGTTCAGCTTCTTTGGGTGACCTCCAGTCCTATTATTCTTGAGAGAGGGAGAAAAAGTTCTCACTGTCCACTTTTTCAATGTCTTGCATCAGTTTATAAACTTCTGTCACGTTTCCCTTTACTTTACTTTCCCCCCTTAAAATTAAAAATCCCCAAGCATTGTAACCTTCCTTTATGGCGGAGTTGCCCCCTGAAAAAAATTGGACTTCTAGTTCTCTGACAGTGTTGGTTTGCCTTTTTTGAGATGTCTAGACCAAAATTGTACACGGTAATGCACGGCCTTTGAAGAGCGAGTTAATCTTCAAGAATGGGAAAATTCTCAGGACATAAAGGAAGGTGGGACTATGGGCTTGCCATTAAAGATGAGGTGGTTGAGGATTTCTTCTCCAACTCCTTTTAAAATAGAATATCTCTATCATCTCTATCTCTATCTCTATCATCTCTGTTTCTATCTATCTCTATCTCTATCTGAACTGCCCTCAGCAACCTAGTGACATTCCCTTTTCATTTAGGATAAAATGCCCTATGGAAGCAACACTCCATCGTGATTTAGCATTGCTTCAAGGGCAGTGGTGTTGGGGTTTTTTGCAGGCTGGGGTGGGATAGGAAAATAGCTTCCTCCATTTCCCAATAGGTATGTGGATTTCATTACAGACATTCTGGTTTAATATTGTGCATTGAGAAGGGAGAAGGAAAGGTGCAGTGGATGAATGTCATGTACAAGCCATCGGCTGGGACTGGTGGGAACTGGAGTCTGAAGAACATTATGGAGGGCACCATGTTGACTAGTCTCTTAATGATGGCTATTATAACATTGATGGCATTTCACAGGTTATGGGGTAGATGATTTTGTAGTGGGAGCTCCAGCTCCTTCCACTTCTATTGCTGCCACTTTCAGACTTGCCCCCTGAATCCACCCTGTTGCTACTGTTTATCTGTCACTTTAGCAAAGAGTCCTAATTTTCTTTTGTTGTTTTTGAATGTTGGTATTGCTCCACCTTGGGCAATTTGGTGGGGAGGCAGCATCTAAGATAGACAGGGAGTTTAAAGGCTCCGTGTAGCCTAGCACTGCAGATTGGCATGTATGACACGTTGAATTTAACAAGCTAATTTGATCCTGTTTTCCTTAGGAGCTGTTTAATTTGTGGTCTGCATATTTCTTAATCTGTGGCTATTCCAGAGGAAAAATTGCACCTATTACTGCACTGCAAAGCTATCTGTGACAGTTGGTGCTGATATAATACCAGCCAGGGAACAGTGGAATTAAAGCATTTCAAATATGCCTAGTGCTGTTTGCTTATCAGCTGCTAATACCAGGCATAAAATTATGTAGGTTATGTTGAGCCAAACTAAAATGATTTCCTTATATAAACTGTTTTTATTACCAAATTAATCTTTTGGGCACTTTCAACTTATAAAATCCAACTTTTAAGTCTCCTCACATTACTGGAAAGCCATAGAGGCAGACATTTTGTTGCCCGGGACAAGGTGCATGGTACCCTTTACCAGACACATTTTTGGGGCATCTGAGGCTGAAAACCCCACAAGTACTTCTTTCCCCTCTACTCCCTGGTAGTAAAAATACTACAACAATAAATTAAATAGCTAACCATTTTTTGCCCTTTCATGACACCCAAATTATCTGCTTGAGGTGGCCTCCCATTCTACCTAATAGTAGGGCTGGCGCTGCAAGGGGGGCAAATATGCTCACAGTTACACCAAGTGTGATCACAAATCACTTTCTGCCAAATAGTTACAGAGCGATCCTGTAGATCGCAGGAGGCATTCTGTTGTACAAGTAGGATTATGTGGTTTGTGGAATAAACTACATATTTCCTGCTTCAACAAACAGCCGATAATTGGAAGCATGATTTTGCCCTGCGATAAGCAGTACTGGGTGCAAAATAGTCATATATGGGGTGATGTTGAAAATCACTTGTTGGGGGGATTTAAGCAACCCACTCTCTCCCAGCTTCAGCCCCTCATTCCCAATATGCAATAAGGGGAATAATACTGCTGATTTATCTTTCACCATTGGTCTGATCCAGCAGGCTATTCTCCTGTTCTTAATGGTGTGGAACCTGTAGCCTTCCATATATTGTCAGACTCCAGCTCCCATCAACCCCAACCAGTCTGCCTGGCCAATGGCTGGGGATGATGGGAATTGAACTCAGCAACATAAGAGGGACATACAGGTTTTTTGTCCCACCCTTACAGGGTTGTTGTAGGAATTGCAACTACATAATGCATTTGAAGTGCTTTTAATGATATACAAATACCACTGCAAGATCAAGTACCTGGTAATAAAATTACCATGCATTGCAGATGTACCAAATAATACTGTGGCCCAAGATTTTCTAAGTTAGAAGAAAACAACAACATTGTGTATAGTTTATGGATTGTAAATTTAAAGATCACGTTACAGACTATTAAAATATTATGATAGATATAAAATGACATGCTTCAGAACTTAATGCAGCAAGTACCGGTAGTTTATGGACTGTAGGAGAAGGAAATTTCATAAGAATCTCTGCAAATTTTGCTGGCCCTGCTAATCTAAATCTCCTGGGAAAGGGAAGGCAGTCCTGTTTGGAGCTGGAACTATATTTTTAAGGGGGGGTTCACTGCATAAAAATACAAAATAAAAACCCAAAATACTTAATAAAAACAAGACAAACCAACAATGCCGCCCCCTGAAAAACACACATTTAAAATGACATAGAATGTTAAATCAGCCAAAGGCCTGGTTGAAGAAGAACATTTTTGCCTGGCGCCTAAAGGTGTATAATGATGAACCTCCCTGGGGAGAGCGTTCCACAAATGGGGAGCCACTGCAGAAAAGACTTGTTCTTGTATTGCTGCCCTCTGGACCTCTCATGCAGAAGTCGCATGAAAAAGACCCATCCTAATAGATCCCCCACCTCTACAGAGGGGAAAAGATGCTGAAAGCATAAATCTCAACAGGACATGATCTGACTATGACAAGGGGTAGACTACAAACAGTGGAATTCCCAGCAAGAAATTGATGCTACACATGCTCTGCACAGCATCAGGGACTTAGAGTCTCTGTCTACAATGGGCTCGGACTGTCTAGAAGAAAAATTTGTTGGTCTTCAGGAAGGAAGAGTATGCAAAGACAGGCACTTCTCAAGCACTCTTGAGGCTTGCAAGTGCTTGTTGGAATGCATGCAAAGCTTCAAGCCCTTTCAGGATGAAAGGGATGGCAATGGCCCATCCCCATTACAACCTGGCAGAGAGAACTCTTGGAAAACAAATAAGGTTTCCCCTCCTTATGCAGTCAGCATGAAAGCTCATAATAATCAAGTCTACTTAACATCTGAGCCAAGGTTAGTTTGACCTCCACTAGCTTTTGGAGCAATTGACTCCTGCCTCTCTGTAAAGATGCTTAGGTAATTTCAAAGAAGCTCAGTAAAAGGAATTATAGGCCACAGATACTGCACCCATGTGGATGGCAAGATCTGGGATGTGCAAGGGCAAAAAAGGACAGGGGTAGAACATTGTATTGCAAAATAGCCACTCTTTGTGGATGGTGCACAACAGTGTTTTAAACACCTTTTCTTCTGCAAAGTGTGTTGATTTAGTTAGGTGAATCACCCAAATTCTCTTGTGTTAGGTAAAGGTAAAGGGACCCCTGACTGTTAAGTCCAGTCGCGGATGACTCTGGGGTTGCGGCGCTCATCTCGCTTTATTGGCCGAGGGAGCCGGCGTACAGTTTCTGGGTCATGTGGCCAGCATGACTAAGCCGCTCCTGGCAAGCCAGAGCAGTTCACTGAAACACCGTTTACCTTCCCACCGGAGCGATACCTATTTATCTACTTGCACTTTGACGTGCTTTCGAACTGCTAGGTTAGCAGGATCAGGGACCAGGCACGGGAGCTCACCCCGTCGCAGGGATTTGAACCGCCGACCTTCTGATCGGCAAGTCCTAAGTTTTCACTGACCAGTCTTATGTCAAAGTGGTGCTTCTACATGGTAGTTTGTTGCAGAATTGATGTTGGCACTGCAACAGCAAGGATCACTCTGTGTCTTAATTAAAGGCTAATTCTGTTATCGATAAGTCAGCTAACAAAGAGGGAGGTGGTCTTGTTTAGCAACCAGGCATAACGTTGTGCTCTCTACTGAGGTAGCATGTTTTCTAATTGGCTGTGTAGTTCTGAGATATTTTTTCCTCTACACGTTTCATTGAATATCTCTCTACGAGGCCTGAACTAAAAAGACAAAGCCTCTTCGTTGCTTTCCCCTCAAATTATGCACCGTTTTAATTCAGCTTGCTCAGTAAAGTGTTATCAGGTCTTTTCTCTCTCTCTGGACTCCATTTGTGTTAATTAGGTGACTCTGCTAGCACTTGGTATTGCTTATGTATGCAGTTTTTCCACAGGATCCACACAATGTTTTAATCAAAATGGCATCCCTTTCCCTCCTTCGCTGCCTGGATATAATACAGATTTACCATTTCTATGGGGTCTTTTTTCCTTACCAAATTTTCCATGGAAGCAATATATCCTAACTGAATGGAAAAATAATACGAGACAGCATTTTGATTATGGTGGCATCATGTGGACAAGTTCGCAATAAACCCAAGGAGCCTCATTCCCACGTTATACTGACTTGTTGATATTTCTATCATAGAGTCATGGGCAGAGCCATGGAGAAGCAGCTCCCACTCAGAAATAACAGCTGAAAGCAAGAAATAATCTATTACATTTTGGAAGAGAGTGCACTGTTTTATAAGAAATTTGTCATTAAATATGGGGCAGGAACACAGTTGTTTTCCCCCCTTTTTTGCATTTTGCACAAAGTTATATAGATATTTTGTTTTATCTCTATAATTCGTAGCCTACCATCGTAACGCTATTCAGTGATGGCTTCAGGTGATGATTCCTTTTAGATCACACCAGGCCTTTAAACACTGTTTATAAAGCAACTGGAAGAGACTGCCATAATTGGAAAGAGTTTGACCTTGTGTTTCTGAGAAGTCATATAAGCACATTCCTCAGGAGCTATGTAGGAGGAAGCATTTTGTCTGGGAACAGCGAAAGAGTTTACGCAAGCAAGATACTGCTCTTTGAAAAACTGAGTTCTTTTGTGTGGCATCCCTTTCTCACCATGATAATGAACCATTTTTAGAGGTGCTCTTCATTTCAGCAAGCAACATGCTCTGTGATTCCTACCTGTTCACATATGTTCTTTTGTTTCCAGAGGCATTTTCGTGTTGTAGATTTCCTTCACCATCTCATGAACACATGCTAAAAGTCATGCATACATTTTAAAATGTTCTTAGGGAACATTTTGTACTTTACACCGGTATTATCATGCCAAAAATACATATAAGCACAATTCATCACTATGAAAGGGAATGTGTCACAGATATCCCCCCTCCCCCAATAGAAAGCAAAACAGTATTCATCTTTATCAGAGATCTTGAATTTGAGAATTCAAACAGACGTCTGGTCAAGTCAAATGTTCATTATCAACAGAGGTGAGTTGGGGAAGGCAGATGGGCAGAGGAGATACATAAAAGTCAAAGTCACATTCCATATCCAGTTTAGAAAGTAACATCAGATCTGGCACTGTGTTTAGGAGAAGAGTTTTTATAGGTATATTTCTGTCATATTTTAAAAAGGCATTCAGGTTCCTCTAATTTAGCTGTTAGATTAGGAATGCAGATGGAACTTTCCTGCCTTGTGAAGATGCAAAGTCCTCTGCTGTTGCCACATGAAATTTACCACATGATTGGAAGAATGGGATTCAGGAGCTTAATTATACACCTTCTGCTAGCCAGACAAGATATGAAATGCAGAGATAAAGGTCTGGAAACCTTATGGAGGGCACCTATCAGGAAAGGCCTTTGAATCTATGTCTACTTATCAAAAAATACTTTATTTAGAATAGAGTACTTACATCTCACTTCATAGCCTTCAAAGGCTCCAAGTGGCTTACTAAATATTTGCACAGTACAAGTTATTGTATTACCATCATATTTTAATACAAATCCAGGTGCATTTTTCCTAGAAGAACAAACTAGAAGACAACCTTTTCAATTTATGAACTTGATTACGATGGGGAGGGGATACCTGTGGATTAAGTTGGACAAACTTGTTTCAGTCAGCAGAAAAAGAAAGAAAACCACTTAAAACACCAGTAAAAGGACATATAGCATGCATGTTATATACTGTATGTAAGGAAGGGTCTGTTGTGAAGTCGGCGGTAAAAACCACAAATCTATGATTACCCAGGCTAGGAATCAAAGGAAAGCACTCAAGAAGTTTAGCAACATTCTAAAATTGCTCATGTTTTTAAGTGACGTTTGTTCCTTTTTCCACTGTAAAGTTGTTTAGGCTTAAACAAGCTCAACTAACTGAGCCCATAGTAACCTCTTCCAGCCATAATAAATCCCCTAAACTGAAAATCTCTGGCTTTAGCTTGCTTTAGCTCAGCCCTTCCTATTTGCTTGTTGAATGACTGTTCTGGTTATTCGGCAAGCGCCATAAGAAATGCGGACTCACGTTGCACCAGATCTTTATAGTCCACAGCAGTAGCGCTGCTGGCTGTCTCTAGATTGCTTGCCGTGCTCCATCTCTGACTTCTCCCTGTCAGAGGCCTGATTTAACTGGCCTTCTTTCTTATGTGCTTCCCTGACCTGGAGGGCTAGAACTGTGTCCAGTAGACTGCCTGTAGTTCCAGTCTTGGCTTGTTTCAGCATATGTTCTTTGGTGCATCGTTCTACAGAAACCATTGGATGGGCCTAGGGACTCTAGTTTGATTAGCTTTAGGCTTTCTTCCTGGCTTTAGCTCCAGAGTTGTCTTGTCAGCATGGTCCTGACAGCCCTCAAGTGGCAGATCTCAACTGTAAGCCTTTGTCAGCAGACACAGCGCAATATCTGCATGGTAGATCTGTCTTAATGCTGCTTTATCTCAACAGTGCCAAGTATGGCATTTGCTGTTCTGTTCTTCAGTGTGAGCCATGGAGTTGGATGTCTTTTTGCTGCTTCTTGGGTTTTTTTGTGTGGGATTACTCTTTGTTGACTCTAGAAGATATAATGAATCTGCAATAACACAAGAGACACAACCCTGGAAGGAGAAAGCCTAGATTCATCCTGTGGATCACAGAAGTATAATTCACAAAATATTTATGTACTGCTGTATAAATAAAGGGGGAAGTGGAAGCTTATGAGACTTAGCGGAAAACTGACATGTCAGCATCAAATGTTCCCATAACCAAATTCAGTATACATTTTTCAAGAACAAGGATGTCTGATTCTTTCCCCCTCCTTATACCCTTAAACTTATTTCGAAATACACTATATTTCTCAATATACTAATGACAACACATCCCTTTGGAACTGCTTACTTGTCCCTACACCATAGCAACTGGTGTAAATGAAACCAATGTGGTACCTGATGTTTCCTGCATCTGATGCAGTCGATAAATGGTAACAAAGGCAAGGCAGCTATTGGCAGCCCATCTTCTAGCATTCTTAAATATCTCTGGACCCCAACTAGGCAATTACTGAAATAATAAAATGTTCAAAGGTCATGAAAAGAAGAGAAGGCCTTTTATTTCACATCAGGTATACAGTGACCCCTAATCAGTGTGCTGTGTCATCACTTCTAAATTAATTTGATGAGAATTTACATTCCGCATTGCATAAATCTGTTTGAATGCCTAAGAGGTATACTAAAAAAAATAAAAAATGTCAGGCAGAGCCAAATGCCAATGTGCTCTCTTAAATACCCCAGCAACAACAGAGAAGTAGGCTTTTTTAATAAAGGACACCTGGAAAAATCTGGAAAGGGAAGGTTAATTGATGGTCAGTTGAATTCATTGCAACTAGGTTGTCTTGTATTCCTTTGATGTTTCTGGGATCCCCAACTGTTGCTTGCTGAAGGTGCTTGCTTTTCAGCCAGAAAGACTTGCATTGAGTTTAGTTAAAAGCTGTTAAGTGATATATTGGCGAGGGCTTTGGGTTGCAGTTTATGTTCTCAGTGAGCCTGAGTTGGATAGCTGGAACTAAAAATTGTACAAATTGTGACTGACCCTAAGATTGGTTAATCTGCCTGGGTGTTTTCATCTTTTAAAGCAGCAGTTGCTCCCATTTTTCTATCTATCTCTCCCAGCTACTAAAATATAAAACTTAGTTTCCAGAATGTTTGCAGCTCAAGGCAATGAATCTGAAAGGACTTTCCAAATCACTTGTTCTGTCAGTCTAGCCCCTGAAAAATTTGGACTGTTCATTCCTTGACTTTGTTTGAAATGAGCACCACTGTGGGCCATCCTGTAGGTAAATTAATTGATAATGGATGGAGTAGCGCGTTTTCTGAGAATTGGCTCCTAAGACTACCCAATGAAACTTATAATATTGTACCTCCTGACTAGCAGCCTACCTTTTGTTACGAAGCACTCTGCCCCTCCCCGAGCCCTAACCTTACCACCCTATTCCTTGGGTATCTTGTTCGCTCAGGAAACCAAGTCTTCCCACAATAGACCATGATGTGTTTTGTTTCAAAGCTGTTCCATGGTTCAGTTTTCTCACTCAGGCTTCTAGCCTACTCAACTTCATGGAGCCTTCACATAACCTAATAACACCTTTGCCTCCTCTTCACAGTTCCCTTGCCTCTATCCATGTTTGTTATTTTTCCTTGGGCTGGTTAGGAACCTTAAGGAAACCCATAAAGAAACTTCTACTTTTGAACCATATTGGAAGGGTTTTAGGAGCCCAAACTAATGCTAGATATAAAGGCATAATGCAGTCTCCCCCGTGGTGTGGAATGCTTCTGGATAAAAGACTTCAAAATATCATGCCTCCACAGTTACACATGCAGACATGTGTGTTAAAGTGTGATTAGGCACATGTCCTGGCTTACTGTCGGGGAAGAGCTGTAGCTCATTGGGAAATCCACGTTCAGTCCCTTGCATCTCCTGGTAGGGCTGTGAAAGGCCTCTGAGAGCCATTGTTAGTCAATGTAGACAACACCAAGCAGTCAGTTCTGAGCCAGCTGGATAACTCATCTAACCCAGTACAAGGCAGCCTGTCAGGCACGCTTTGACTTTAATTTCATAACACACATGAAAAGCATGAATGTTGGTTAAAACCCAGCATACACATTTGTCACACTGAGTATTAAAGACACACACCCTTCTATTCACATTGAAGCTGTTCATTCTTGGAAGCAAAACTTAGTTTCTCTTAGAAGATTATGAACTAATTTCTGGCATGAATTCAACCTTGGGTACCTGTTGTTGCAATAGCATCATCTTTTATTAGGCTGCCAAGTGTATACGCAACATTTCATACTGAAAGTACAAAGGCTTTATGTGGACACCATAATCTGGTGCATAAACCTTTATTATTTTGTGACAATCGCATATATTTTTAGACCTTCGAAGGAAAGCTTACTTTGACTTCCTTATTTGCAGAACAACTCAATATGGCAAGGGCAAGTCAGGATTAAAAAAACACAGTGGGGCCCTGTTTCTGATCTACTCTTAGGCAGCAAAATTTCTGTTCATTTAGATCAGAGGGGGACAATCCATGGGCCATACCAGCCCCCAGCCCCTGCTTTCCATGTGTCCTCTCAAGACCCCTCCCAACTTAGGAATTTAAAGATCTGCATTTTAAGAAATTAAAATGCACAATACTGCCTAAAAGCACAGCTAGGTCACACACACACACCCCCTGCAAAACATGGATCCAAGCTGGTTTAAGGGAAAATTCATCAGAATACAATAGTTCTCAATAAACAACAGGGTAGATATTGCTATGTCCACCACTACTCAAACCAGCAGTGGAGAATGTTCTGGATGCAAAGTAAATGGGAGTGTGTACACAGCCACAGAATATACACTACTACTGTGGCTTCTAAAATGTAATTATATTTTTTTTTTAAAAAAAAATTAATTAAGCTACACATTTCACCCCTGGGATATTTCATCAAAACATTCACATGCATGCTTGGTAATTACTTCTATCCTGTCTATAAATTATGAAGTTGTCGCTATTGGCTCATTCATTATTTCAGTCAGAATGCCTCCAGAGGCATTTGCGTATTAATTTGAATTTCTAACCAGCCCCGTTTGTAGGCTTAGAGTAAAAAAAACAAAAACAAACCCTCCAACATCCAATAGCTAACAATATCAAATATGCTAAAAATGGAGATTAAAAATATACAACCTAAAATTTTCCCATGCCAATCCCCAGTAACGGAAAGCATGGTTAGTGAAGTCTTAAATAGTTTGTGGGAAATTCATGTGTTCATACTTTAGCAAATCAGAGAGAGTGAATTCCCAAGACCAGAGATCGTCTGCTGAGCAAGCCCTTGTCAGACTTGTGTGATGGAGACCAAGGAGCTGCTTAAAGGGCTGCTTTCAGCAGTAGTGGGAAAGGAATGAATTATGGGTAAGGACTGTTAGAAGACTGGTAATGCCCAGCGCCTTGGGTTAGGATCACGGGGAGCTGCCTGATGCCAAGTCAGACCATTGGTCTCTTTAGTCCACATTGACCGAGAGTGGATCATGAAGTTTTCTCTCCTTGCCCTACGTTGAGATGCTGAGGATTGAGCCAAAGACCTTTTGCATTAAAAACATGCGCTCTGTGACTGAGCCTCAGCCCATCCTAAAGTATGAGATTATGTTTGAGAGGCACACAAAGCCTCTGATGCTTCTGGTAATTCCCTTGACACGATTAGGCAGTTTTCTTTATACCAGATGTAAACTTCAAGCAGCACAGAACTCATTGGAACAGACTCTCTTTAGGGAGGGTGGTGGATGGTTGCTAGATCCCAGATCAGTAGGGAGGGTTACTGCTGTCTTTCAAGACTAGGCAAAAGGCATACTTGGCCATTGCCCGTAATGGTTACATTATTAAAGCAGGAGCAGTTTAAGTAAAACCACAATGATCATGCATATAAAGTATATCGTGTCTGTTTTGCCACTTAGCAGTCAGCCAAAAAGGTCCTCTGACATGTCCCAAAATGCTCCTTTCTTCATTGGTCAGTTGCTCCAGCCCTTTGACCATTTTGGTTGCCCCTTTTCTGACCCTTTTCCATATCTGCAGCGATCTTTTTAAATGTGACCAAAAAATGTACACAGTATTCCAAGTGTGGCTGCACCATAAATCTGCATGAATACATGGGAATAATACACTAATAAAAATAAAACAAACCAGAACAAAGGTGGCATTGGAAGGTCTCTTTTCAAATCACGGGAAGCCTAAAGTTTGTTATCTTAGAATCATAGAGTTGGAAGGTACCCCAAGGGTCATCTAGTCCAACCCTCTGCAATGCAGGAATCTTTAGCTCCAATGAACCAGTTGGCAAGTCTATTAGGAGGATACTCCCTCTCTAAAGGAAGCTAGTAGACTTTGGTGTTTATAACAGCATTGAAGTAGTCTTGGATATAAAACAGCTTTTCCTAATCCTCCACATATTTTAGACTACAGCTCCCACCATCACTGACCATTGGGCATACTACCATTGGAAGGTAGTAGGTTGGGGAAGGCTAATACAAAGAATGGTTCTGGTGCTCATAGCACTTGTGTGGCTTCCATGCCAGTTTCCCTTGAGCATTGTTGTCAGTCATGTTGTGGAATGATGACAGGCCTGCATTTTGCTAAAAAGATGCATATCTGCCCAAATGGCCTACCTGGAGGCACATATGTTGATAATTAAGGAAACGGGGGTTCTTTTAAATTACTTTAGACATGCCAGCCTTCATTTTATGAGGCTTTCTATTCATGAGTTCACAGTACAAGGACTTCATAACCCAAGCTTTTGTTTCTCAAGTTGCATATGCTCACGTTGGACAGAGAGGAATCTGCTTTTATTCAGAGTTCAGTTTTCAGGGGAAGTGGGTCTGCGTGGCAAGCAAAGGTTAGGTTCCATCCAACTTTCTCTTTTGTGTGCATGTGTGTGTATAGATCTGTATAGATTTAATATAAGTTAAGAAAGCTGATTATGCAATCAGGGTTTTTCCTTTCAGAAAGTGAACAATATTAATGGTAAGGCTGAGAACATTAGCTTCAGTTTTACAACTGTGCCAGAACTTAGAGCAAATAAAACAATAGCCACATACACATGCTTTCCATCTGTTACGCTGTCATTGCCATTTATGTAGTCACAGTGATAGCAGATGAAATAGGCTGTCATCCAGAGCTCCATTGGGCTCTGATGCTCCCAGAGAGCTTTGCATTTAGCAGGGAATGCGCAGCATCCTCAGAGTTAGGAAGCAGGGCTCATTTCATCCTGTTCTGCTGAAAGACCAGCTCCATCAGGCCTCCCTCTCCCTCAAGAGTCCCCTGACAGCAGCTATTCCATCAGGCTGCCTCAGTAAGAAGGATGCAGTTTGCAAGAGATATTAAAAAGTATCTGTAAAGTTAAAAGCAAATAATTACAGCATTTATTTAAAAAACCCAATAAAAATCAACGATAAACTAATAATGATGATGATGATTGATGTTTGAGATTGTAAGCATCCAGGCAGGGTCTTATTTTTATTGATTGTATGTAAGATTGCATGGGAGCCTTTTTGGCTGAAGAGCTCTAAATAAATAAACATATTCCTGCCAGTATTGGGCTATGCCTCCTTATACCGTGGCATAGAACAGGCGTGTCCAACTCCCAAGAGACTGCGATCTACTCCCAGTATAAAAAAAAACCTGGCAGTGATCTACCCATTGTCATTGGAGGGAGGAGGAGCGTTTTTGACCTTTGGGGGGGGGGGGGATTGCACAGAGTTTGTAAGCTTTTCCCCCGTAACTTTTTGTACACAATAAGGATTCCGCAATCTATCAGGATCAGCTGGGGATCTACTGGTAGATCGCAATCTACTGGTTGGACATCCCTGGCATAGAAGATTCCCCAGCAAAGCATTAAAGTGACTGATCCAACTCCTGCTTGAGCAAAGCTTCATGATTATTACATTGGAAGTTTTCGTGTTCTCCTGGAGTTGCTGGGTTGATAAAACAGTGAGAGTTTAAAGGGAAAAATTGGTTTATAATATGTAAAAATTTAATGTTATAATATATCAAGATTAAAGATTAGGATTAAAAAGGAGGGAAAGGAATTGTTGGATTAACAAATCGAATTGGAATACAAAAGAGGGAGGTATGAGGAGGTCCGGGAAACAAGTAAATGTATAACAAGTGATGAAAAGATGGAATTGTTTTTAATTGTTTTTTCTTTTTTGTACTTTGTATTTTTTCTTTTTATTGTTAATTTTTTTTATTAATGTGATTTTTCTTTTTTTGAAACTTTAATAAATACTATTTTAAAAAAATAAAATAAAACAGTGAGAGTTTAGTAAACATTTGTTTAAAATACACAGCCTGGAAGAATCCGGTTTAGCATCTTGATTAAGTATCAAGGTACGATAGGAATAAATATTGTCACTTTTCAAAGTATTTTTAATTCCACTCTTCTACCAACTTTCAAAGCAGTTTACAGATCAATAATAATAACTACAACAAAAAGCAATCCCTCAGGCATGCAATATGATGGACATCACGCGAAAGAAAAGCAGAGAAAAGGGAAAAAAGCAATCTCCAGCGCCTATCAGAGTTACAGTTCTTTGAATGACCAGCTGGGATGGAAACAATTCAGCTAGCCTGATTGAATGGCTTCTGCTCTGTGGGCAGTAGAAAGCATTATACAGTTTCGAAGCACATCTTGACTTTCACAGGTACAAACCAAGTAAATGGTGCCGTTTCCTGCCCACCTGCTTCAGTGTGTACCATCCTCCTCTACCCCACCCCCCCACCCCAACCCCCCGCATTCAGATTATATGCCTATGTGAAGGACTGTGCACACACAAAGGATTACGGGCAAAGTTTCTCTGCATTCAAGGTAAACACTCCTGTCAACTTGCATCCTTCAATGGCAAGTAGCTCTGTTCTTTCTCTGGTCATGTTTAAAAAGGCAGCTTCCCATTGGAGATCCTGAGAGATACAAAGGAAGGGGCTGATGGCATTGGGTTGGCATCTGTCTGTGGCAGGAGTGTGGAACTTGTGGCTTTCCAGATGGGTGTTGGACTTCAACACCCATCAGCCTTGACTATTGGCCATGCTGGTTGGAGCTGATGGGAGATGCAGTTCAGCAACATTTGGAGGGCCAAAGGTTCCCTACCCCTGGCGTAAGGCATTCCTGAAAATGAGCCTATTGTTATTTCATAGAATTGTAGTGTTGGAAGGGACCATGAGGGTCATCTAGTCCAACAGCCTAGAATGCAGGAATCTTTCACCCAACATGGGGCTCAAATTCCACAATCCTGAGTTTTAGTCTCATACAGGGCTTAATGTGGGGGGCAGGGTGGTCAGAGTCTGGGGCACATAATTTTGAGTGGCACAAATGAGGCGCCCCCATGCAGGAATCCTCGTACTGCCCTGCATACCGCTACTCTAGCCCAAGTTAAGCAAACTTAAGCCCCATTGTAATAAATGTGTTACAACTCTTTATCTCAGCTTGGTTTGGGATGTAATTTTACATCCAGTTGTACATGATTGATTTGCGTGCAGGCCTAAAGCCATTTGTTAAAAAGCTTGTGCAGTCTGGTTGGCAGAAACAAACATCACTTTGTTAGTGTTTGCATCACTTCTTTAACTAAAGTTCCTTGTGCACAGAAACCAACAAAGTCTAGCTTAACATCTGCATCCATTTGGGAGCAATATTATGGTACTGTTTCTACAAACAGTTGTGCCATTGAAATTAATGTAAAACAAGCTTCCACCATTGTTGAATAAATATTGTAAACCTCTCCTTATGTTAAATAAACGTAAGCCTCTACTTATGATAGATTAATCTAAGTTTATATTGGATTGGTGGAACCGGCATAACTAGCACAATCATCGAAAAGTCCTGGCTAAGAGATGGGTCTGAGGCAATGAATAATCTAATTAAATACAATTGCCCAAAATTTATACAGTATTACAGATACAGCACAAATCACCCACCTCTTAACAGCCCTTAAAGCCTGCAAAACTGTAGGATTTGTTACTAGATCATTGGTTAGCGTGTGCTTGTTCTTTATAAATAGTGTCTAATTAGCTGTGATAATGAATTCAGTCCATTCAGCAAAATACTTCCGTTTCGGCTTGCAGATTTAAATTTAAACTCCCCCCACCTAACATATATCCAGTGCTTTAGGGAGCCGCTATAAATTGTCCATTAAGATTTTAGCAACCAGGCAACATGTTTCTTGTCTTCTGTTGAATACCAAAAGCAACCTTTGTCAGTAAGACGCGTAATTCAGTTTCATAATCAACTTGTGTACAACTGCAGAGCATTTGCTTTAAGGATACTGATGCTGGCAAAACTTGCAACTTCTGCCCATGTGGTAAGGCTAGAATTTGTGGGGGTGCATAATATTAGAATGAACACACACCCTGATGGGGCAGGCATTGGTAGCTGGCACATAACCATTTCATCAACATCAAAGCATTTGTGGAAGTCACTGACATTGCAGGGAGCAACCACTGCACAATTGCAATCACACCGCTCCAGAGAGCGGTGCATCCATCAGGGAGCAATATTATGGTACTGTTTCTACAAACAGTTGTGCCATTGAAATTAATGTAAAACAAGCTTCCACCATTGTTGAATAAATATTGTAAACCTCTCCTTATGTTAAATAAACGTAAGCCTCTACTTATGATAGATTAATCTAAGTTTATATTGCGTGATAGTCGCTTTCTATACAAGTTTTCATTTAGGCACCCTTTGAGTAAGTACATGCATTGGGGAAAAATAATAAAGCATGCTTTGGAATAATTAGGGTGTCAACTTGGAAATAACAAAAAAAAATAAATGCTAGTGGCCTTGTATTTCTAGATCCACAAGTATGAATGAATGAATGAATTTATTAATACGGTCACAGACCAGCGCCAACACACACAACATCAGAGATCCACAAGTAGTTGTTTAATTTCTTCAGGAGCATGAGCATTTGTTTAAAAAAAGAAGAGAGAGGAAACATGAAATGGTTAATGCATAAGTAGTGTCAAAATGTGAGAGAGACATAAGCCTTCATGGCATTATGTAGTTCTTAATATTTTGTATGTTTTCTCACTAATAGAAAGACTTCTGCAGCTTAAAAATACCTTGTTTTCTGAGCCAAATGGGTGTTTACTGATTTGGCTTTGCAGTACCACTTAGTAATTGTCATGCTGAATCTATTTTGTATTCATGTGGGTGACATATGTTGTTGTTGCCGTTTAATAGAAATTCCACAATTACCCTAAACTCTGATTGTATTTCAGAACATTTCATATATTATAGATACCATTTCTAGACTGCTATAGTGATAACAAGTGTGTAGATTTATCTAAAAGGTATTACTATCCTCGTAATGCAATCCTGTACATACTGGAAGTTAGTTCCAGCCTCAGAACCCAGTACAGTGGTACCTTGGGTTAAGAACTTAATTCGTTCCGGAGGTCCGTTCATAACCTGAAACTGTTCTTAACCTGAAGCACCACTTTAGCTAATGGGGCCTCCTGCTGCCGCCGCGCCACCGCCGCATGATTTCTGTTCTCATCCTGAAGCAAAGTTCTTAACCCAAGGTACGACTTCTGGGTTAGCGGAGTCTGTAACCTGAAGCGTCTGTAACCTGAAGCATCTGTAACCTGAGGTACCACTGTACTGTATTCTCACTGATACATGTGAACAGCTCTGAGAGTGCGCCTCTCTCTCTCTCTCTCTCTCTCTCTCGTTGAATAGTGAGGTAAAATGCCAGTAAGTAAGTAAGAATGAATGAATGAATGCTGGTTTGCAACGTCGATTGGTAAACACAGACGCCAGTAGGGATGGATAAATTTTTGGCCAGACCTGGATTGTGGTGCACAACACAGAATCTCCACCTGACATCTCTCAGATCACCAATTTAAAGCTTTACTCCTGTGCATTGAACCAAGCGGAGCTTACTTCCAAGTAAACAAACATAGGCCTGTGCTTCATGATACTCCCTGCACTCCACGTCCTGACTTTGTAGCATATATGCATTTTACATTTTTCTCCTTTGTCTAAAATGTGTCTTTTTCTCTCTCTTCTCTCATTCTCTCATTCAGGTATCAAATCCATACTGGTCTTCAGCATTCAGTCATAAGGCCCACTCAGCCTAACTGTTTACCGCTGGATAATGTGACACTACCTCAGAAGCTGAAGGAAGCTGGCTACTCTACCCACATGGTTGGCAAATGGCACTTGGGCTTCTACCGCAAGGAATGCATGCCAACACAGCGAGGGTTTGATACCTTTTTTGGCTCTCTCTTGGGCAGCGGCGATTATTACACTCATTACAAATGCGACAGTCCTCGGATGTGCGGCTACGACTTGTATGAGAATGACAATGCTGCATGGGATCATGACAATGGCATGTACTCAACGCAGATGTACACACAAAGAGTGCAACAAATCTTAGCCTCCCATAACCCCAGGAAACCCCTATTTTTGTACATTGCATACCAAGCTGTCCATTCTCCACTTCAGGCACCAGGCAAGTATTACGAGCGTTACCGATCGATAAATAATATAAACCGACGTAGGTATGCTGCTATGCTGGCATGCTTGGATGAAGCTATCAACAATGTGACTCTTGCATTAAAGAGGTATGGTTATTATAACAATAGCATTATCATTTACTCATCTGACAATGGAGGGCAGCCCACAGCCGGTGGAAATAACTGGCCTCTCAGAGGAAGCAAGGGGACATACTGGGAAGGAGGGATCCGAGCAGTTGGCTTTGTTCATAGCCCTCTGCTTAAAAACAAGGGGTGTGTATGCAAGGAGCTCATCCACATAACAGACTGGTTCCCTACTCTGATCATGTTAGCCGAAGGGCAGATTGATGAGGACACTGAACTGGATGGCTATGACGTGTGGGAGACCATAAGTGAAGGCCGGCGGTCTCCAAGGATGGATATTTTGCACAACATTGATCCTATCTACACCAAAGCCAAAAATGGTTCCTGGGCAGCTGGCTTTGGACTATGGAACACAGCGATTCAGTCAGCAATCCGTGTGAACCACTGGAAACTATTGACGGGGAACCCAGGATACAGCGACTGGGTCCCTCCGCAGTCATTCAGTAATGCTGGCCCCAGTCGCTGGCACAACGAACGAGTTTCATGGACCGCTGGGAAAACCGTGTGGCTGTTCAACATCACGGCTGACCCATATGAGCGAGTGGACCTTTCCAGTAAGTACCCAGAGGTGGTAAAGCAGCTGTTGCGTAGGCTTTCGCAGTTCAACAAGACTGCTGTCCCCGTCCGATACCCACCTAAGGACCCCAGGAGTAACCCCAATTTTAATGGAGGCGCTTGGGGCCCATGGTTCAAGGAGAATGAGAAGAAGAAGAAACCCAGCAAAAACAAAGCAGACACTAAGCAAAATAAAAATAAAAACAAGAAGAAACCTGACAGAAGAAAAGGACATTCCCTAAGGTGCTTTGCAGGTGGATAGTTTCAGTGGTTCCCTAAGGTGCTTTGCAATGGTTTCTTATGCTGCAATCCTAAGGATACATACTGAGAAAGACTACCAAATGTAGTGGTAGCTAAACTTCCAGGTAACTGTTTAGGCTCAAGAGTCCATTGCTAAACCAGAGCAAAACAGTCCCCAAAATTTATAATTTGCAGACATACCAACACAGTAGAAGTGCCATTTTTCTTTGGTCTTGTATTGTAGCAACAGATACATATGTCAGATGCAGTTGCCCTCACTACCTTATCTTCCATACAATGGAGGGTTACTCACACATTATTGCTCACACCATAGGGGAAAGGCTGCAGCTCAGTGATAGAGCAAAAGTGTTGCATGCAGAAGATCCTCTGTTCCACCCCCAGCCACTCCAGGTAGGGCTGGGAGACTCTCCTGTCTTAAAGCCATGGAGATCTGCTGCCACTCAGTGCTGAAAATTCTGAGCTAGGTGGACCAAAGGTCTGACTTGGTATAATGCAACTCCCTGTGGTCTTATGCTGTCTCTGTACCCTACTTTTGTAGAACACATGGTGATATGTGTTCAAATGCACCTGTTTATTTTAATAACCATGTAAAAAGCTATATTGGTAAAATATTCTCCATTGCTGGGAGAAAATAAAGACCAAAAAAGGGATAAAACATTAAAATGAGTTGCCCCCTTATGTTATCTTGATGAAGCACAGCCAGCCATTAAGCTACCAGAAATAGCCTGAATAACTTGTGAAAAAGCTGCTTCTAATTAAATTTTGCCTAGCTTTCAACTGGAAAGGATTTTTTCCTTCCCAGAATGTGCCAGGCTACAATTCCTTCCAATAAAAACAAGCTATGCACACACATACAAAACTGCTAATACATGGTTATAATTACAGAAATATGTAGAGTTACAGATTGAAACTCTTTGCTGGATTATGTGCGCACAATCCCATACAATATATACACAGAATTGTGCACAGAATTGCAGCCTTATAAAGGTATTCACCAGGTGTTACTGCTGAGCACCAGCAGTGCTTGGTAGATTGCATACCAACTGTCTGAATCCAAAAGGCTGTGTGCACTTCGGCACATATGAAGTTTCAGATAAGTAGGCTTTCTCTATTCACTTTAATAAATGATTTGAGTGCATTAAGGTGGCCAGCCTTCAACCATGAAGCATATATAAAAAGAAAGTCTTACTGACTTAGCAAGAGGTTGCTTATATGTATGGATTGTAGCCAGTGGCAGAAAGAGCCAGGCATGCAGCCCAGTCCCATTGTTGATTGGAGAAGGCAAAGATCCATGAACACAAGCCGTTCTGCAGCTGATAATGAGAAGAAGCTCATTCAGGATGTCCAACTGATGAATGGATGGGCATAGTCTAAATATGGTTCACAGCTTCCTCTGTTGAAGAGAGAGAGGTCAGAAAATAGTTTTCGGCAAATGCCTTACCCCAGAGGTTTTCAACCTTTTTGAGTCCACGGTTCCCTTGGTCAACTACATTCTTTCTGCGGCACCCCTGTGGGGCTCAGGAGGCCAGTTATGTCACCCTTTTTTTGAACACCCTCCCTTGTGGAGTATTCCCTGAGACTCCTTTGTTCTCCCCTCTCCTTGGGAGTCCTCTGGGCAGCCGCAGCCACCCACCCCAAATAGAGTTGCCTACTCACACTGCCTCACAGGGGCCTAGCCAGCCAGAGGCACCATTTGCCTGGGTAGCTTGTAACCAAGGCTGCTGCAATAAACAGCTGTGTTAGCCTTTGGGAAGCAGAGATGCAAGAGGGCATCAGAGCCCAGGGTGCCATGGCACACTGCTTGAAAACCATTGCCTTAGCCACACTATGCAAACCCTAACACCTGTGGTGGAAAAGGATTTTCACTTTCCATTGCCAGACTTCAGAACTTCCCATTCCGGGTGCTGATGTAAGGCCAGCTCCCACTGTTCCAAACAGAGGAAACCTGTGACCCTCTTGATGATGTTGGACTGCAGTTCCCATCATCCCTGAACTTCATTGGCCATGCTGGCTGGGCCTAATGGAAGTGGGTCTGCCACAATATCTGGAAGGCTGTAGGTTCCCCACCCCTTCACTATTCACTCATCCATGGGTAGTCTCACCCTGAAACAACAGTCTGTAGTAGGTCCTGTTTGTGAAGGAAGCTAAGCAAGGGAAGAAGAGGCCTGAGACAAGGGGAGAACAGTAACAACTGTGACAGGTTGGTAACTTGGCAGCATTAGCGAGGTGAACAAGTGGAATACTTCAGCTTGTAATACATACATAATTTATTTTGAGGTACAGCACACCAATGACTTTTTGCTCCCATAGTTTTCCTGCGGGTCATTTGTTAGTCCACTGTTATTCCTAGGAGAATGTTGTTTCATGTAGCAATATCTGCAAGTACTGTAAAATCAGAAATAACTGTAAGAGGGGGAGTTATCTGGGTGCATTCTTGCATTCTGCGTTTTGTCTGCAAGCATGTTAAAGTGGTTATCTGGCTGTGTAGTCACACACTTTTCTTTATGGAAGCAAAACTCTTGGATGTTTAAAGAAGAGGGAGGAAGGGGGAATGGAAAAAGGGTAAACTCTAAACATTTTATTTATGTATCTATTAAAAATAGTTTATTTTTATGGTGATGATCAGAATAGCCTCTGTTGTCTTTTTTTGTAACAGTTTTTTTAAAAAAACAACAGCAACCCAGTTTTCAGATTTTGCAATTTTTATATGAAAATGGAAGTTGGACTTTTTGTTTTGGGCAGACACTTGTCTCCACCTCACCCTGGTCAGTAGAAACCTTCACCATTATCCTCACAAAGCAGGTGAAGAGCAGAAGATGGGTAGAAAGCCAGTTGCCTCTGTTCCTTAATTGTGGTTGGTCCTTAATCACTGGTAAATGAATAATTTACTGTTTTCACAAAAATGAATCTATAAACAACATTTGATAAAGCAATTTCTAACTCTTGCTATATTGTGTCCAGGACTTTCAGTAGGGACTGTGATTCCCCTCGTGCGTTTGCAAGGGCACATGAGAAAGATATTCTTGGGGGTTGGATCTCAAATTAACCCCCATTCCTTTCTTTTGGACACCTTCTGAGAGGGTAGGATCAGGTTTGTAAAAGATGAACTAGCCACACTAGTTTGGGAACACCAGCACATATGCATACCTTGCACAGGTAAGAAATACTATCTCTGCAAAGTTTCCATTCAAGGTACAAAAGTCGTATTCATGCAATGGGCCTTTAGATCCAAGGGTTCTGGAACTCTCTCCATTATCAACACTGCACAGCAGTGTAAAAAGAATGAGAGAACAATGAGATGAAAGACCACAACACGGTGAGTTCATACTCCACAAGCTGAAGCCTGGAACCGATAAATCCTGTTTATCCAATTAGTGTGTTCTGCAACAGTCACCAGCAAAATAAACTATACAGCCTACTGCATTTATTTGAAACCTAAAGCTAAAATAAATTTCTGCAGATCACCATTCTTTAATATAAAATTAAGAACAGACCCAGTCTGGTGTAATTGACACAGTTTTTGCTGTGGAAGACTTAGGTTCATATCTTTGCTCAGAAACAAAGCACACTAGGCAAACTTTGGCTAGGATAAGCTCTTTCGGCCTAATCAATATCACCATGTTGCCATGAGAATAAAATGAGCAAATCCAATATACACCACCTTGGAGGAAAGCCAAGAGATAAATTAGATGTATAGTCTCCTGTGTCTTAACAGCTAGAGGAGTGTAACAAGTTCATGGTGCCTGAAGACACATTAGTTCATGTTAAGTGCATACATAAATTTTGCCTTGAACAATTAAAAAGGATTAAAGCATTCTGTTGCCCTAGCACAACATATACATTTTTAAAAGGAAACAGACTTTTTGTGGTCAGGGACAGCAGGGAAATTCCTTGAAAAGAGTGGCATGAGCAAAGGATTAACGGGGAAAGTGTATAAACATCCTTCAAGCAATTCAGGATGAATGCTCAATAAACAGGTCATCCGGCGAAACCTTAGGTAAAGGTTTTCAGATCACTGCATCTCCATGGGAGGAATTGTTTGTCTTCTGCATTTCTGCTTGTCTAATAGGTTCTTTGACAACACAAGTCCTGCCAGAAAAAAATAGGCAGCCCTTTATGAGTTAAATTGACTCAACTTCGGCTCTAAATGGAGTAGAAAAGACCTGGTTGAAGAGCATTGCCTCGAAAAGGATATTGTAGAGCTGGAAAAGGTTCAGAAAAGGGCAACCAAGATTATCAAGGAGATGAGAAGGAAAAGGTTGCAGCATGTGAGCCGTTTTTGTCTGGATGAAAGGTGAGTAAGTTGACATGATAGAAACTTATAATTATGCATGGCTTGGAGAAAGTGAAGAGTTTTTTCTCAATTGTGCTAGAATGCATGAGCATTCAGTGAAGCTGCATGTTAGAAGATGCAGGGCAGATGAAAGAAAGTACATGGTGCATTGCTAAACTGTGGAACTCGCTCCCACTGGAGGCAGTGATGGCAACCAATTTGCATGGCAATTTGCAAGAGAATTAGATTCATGCAGGATAGGGGGCTATCAATGGCAACTAGCCATGATGGCTCTGCTCTGCCTGGTGTTCAGAGGTAGTAATGTTTCTGAATGCCAGTGTATGGGAATCACAGAGGGTGGTGAGTGCTGTTGTGCTTTGGTCCTGCTTACGGGTTTCCCACAGGCATCCAATAGGCCTCTGTGAGAACAGGATGCTGAGTGAGATGAGCAGCTCAAATTCAACCGCAACGCGTGGCTAACAAGTATTATTAATGTATAGATCATAATCCAAAATTTACAAATCATAAACATCCACATATAATGTATGTATAAGTCCATAAACAAGAAATGGCAAACGTAATAAATATCAGGGAACACCACAACGAAGGCAGGATGAATTTCAATAGATAATGTCCAACAATATTGTAGTGGTGGGTGCGCCAATGTGTAGACAGGCGTAGGAAGGTCAGGTGGTACCCAGTGCGGAAAATTTCTTGTCACACACACCCACATGCACACATTGATTTTTATTTATTTTTTTGCCTGCAAAAATGGTTTTAAGTTATTTCATATTTTCTTACAAAGGAATGTGGATTCTGGGCCTCTGATAACAAGCAGGCGACTATGGACAGTTACTTAAATCTACAGGATGGATTGTGTTTTGGCTTGTGTTATTTTATTTATATTTATTGTTTATTTATTTAATAAAATTTATTTTAAAAAACCTGCAAGTGGTTTACCAAAACAAAAAACAAAAGAACACCACAGCAGTAAAATCAAGAAAAAATAACAATCCTACCTTAAAACATACAAAAGCTAAAATATTAAGATTGAAATTACTTCAACTTCCTAAGCATCTAGGTATGCTTGCCTAAAGAAGAATGCTTTTAGCAGGTGCCTGAAAAGTGTCTAGCAAAGGCACGTGCTTTGCTGCACTAGGCGGGGAGTTCCAAAGTGCAGGTGCTGTCACAGTAAACAATGGAGTACAGATATTACGTGGAACCTGTAGTAGTGCTTGAAACTACTGAAGGGGAGGTTTTATTTATTGTGATTTCACCATGCTCTGTATTATCTAATCTACTTGGCCTAAACTCATTTTCTTCACATAGCCTGACTTTCCAGGACCCGGGAAGCCCAGCAGAGGGTAGGGCAGTAGGGCAGTTCATAAAAAACTTTTCTTTTTTTAAAAAAAAAGCCTGCTCCAAAGGTCTTCTCTTACTAAACTAGGGATTATATAGCTATATCTGAAATTTCATCAGTTAATATCTTGACCTTGCTCCACTGAATTGAAATTTCAGCCTTCACGACATAGGAAAACAGCCAAGTAAACAGCTATTTTCATGGAGGAGGGTCAAAATATTAACTGATATGCATAACATTTCAGATATAGCTATATAATCCCTAGTGTAGTAAGATAAGACCTTTGGAGCAGGCATTTTTTTAAAAAAAGTTTTTTTTTATGAATGGCCCTAGTAGGGCAGTAATTGTTCCTTGATAATTTGTCACCCCCCTCCATGATGGTACATGGGGCGGCCCTCCCCCCCCTTTCCCACGCCCCTGCGTGTAGAATGCAGTAATGAACAGCAAACAGAACTGGAACAGAACAGTGTTTCTGGGATAAGTCAACTGTTTCAAGGATGAATCTTCATCAGCAAATAAATTCCAAATGAATTGCCCATTCAGGTACATATAATAACTATAGACCAGTGCTCACTAACAAGTGTAGCCAACTGAATGAGATAAGCAGGCTTTTCTTATATTCATATTGCATCACCTTTTCTCTGGCTGAAGCTGCAAAAGACCAGCGAACTCAAGAGCAAAAAGCTCTTTAGACAAACAGATTAATAAGGATAAGCCTAGAGAGACAGACTTACTCTCCGGAAAAGGAATTGCTGGCCTTTGAACTTGAGACGACTTCTCCAGATTGTTACCGGTATTAGAGGGCTGTGTAGGCAACCAAACAGAACTATGGTTGAACGTAGATAGATGTATAGATAGATGGACAGGTGTAGTTAATTTTTTTTAAAAAAGGAGAATTCAAAGGCTGCTATCCACGGCTGTCAACATGGTAGGGATACCATCTCTCACAAGATAATTAGATATCTAATAACAATCTATCGGATGAGCAAAAGCTCAAGTTGTTTTCAAACATATCATCAGGGGAAGTTGGTGCTTGAGTTCAAGGCTTAAATTAAACCCAACCCTTAGCCCTCAAGCCTAATTTTAACATGAAAAATCAACCCCAAAGTGTGGAATGAGATTAATGCATACATATAGGAATATCCTACAGATGAGAAACTAGAGTAACTTTTCCAGACATTGCTCATCAAGGATATACATAATCATAGAATGCCATTCTGACCAGTGGAAACAATATGTTCAATTAGGCTGCAAAAACAATAGAAGGCTGGGTTTCTGCATCTCACTGCGGCGAAGTCCCTGTGCAATTGTGCACACTCAACTAAAATGTGTGGTCAGGTGTGGCTTCTATGCTGGTTTCCGCTCTGGCATTTTCCTCTAATTGTTTCTTTTTTGTATTTAGGAATGCTTTGTGTAGGTTTTCAAGCCTACATTTTGTTACAAACTACAATCTGGAACATTTTAAAATCTGCCCAGAGTTTTTACATTTTTATCCATGCAAATCTTCGTCCGATACGGACATAGGAAAATAAAAGGATTACATTTGTTTGCACTGAATTGCATGTCTATAAATGTGTCTCAAATGAATCTGGATTTGATTAAGTCACCAAACTGATGAAATAAGCCTGCGAAACTGAATATAGCCTTCATAGTGCCAGACTCTTTTCTCAATGCTGCAAATCACTCTGATTTTAATGTGCAAATATTGCAGCATGAAGCCTTTAAAACGTTCATGTTTATCCAGGCATTTGACAACTGAAATATGCTGCTTCTGGCAACCTTGACATTATTAGGCATGTGATTCTTTTGAAATGTTTTTAGATGTTAACTGTTTTAGGTATTTTTTAAAATTTAGTTTTTGATTGGGTCGTTTTAACGTTTTGGTGTTTGCCACCCTGGAGTCATTTGCAAGGAAGAGCTGGATAGATGTTGTCATTGTCATGGTAGTTTCATTTCCCCACTAGCTACTTATAACCAGGTCTTGGGCTGATTGAA